CCAGCAGCATCTCCCGCTCCCCTCCCCCTCCCCTCCCCCCCCAGCAGCAGCAGCAGCAGCAGCAGCAGCAGCAGCAGCAGCAGCAGCATGCCAGTGGTGGTTGTGGGGTGAGCCAGCAGCAGCGCGGAGTTGAAGACGTTGAGGGCTTTGTTCTCCATGGCGCCCATGTTGAAGTCGCGGACGCCGACGACCCGAAAAGCCGCCAAGTCCGGCGAAAGCCCAAATTCGATTTCCTCCCACATCATAGCGCGTTTTAAGGCTGAGAGGCTGAAGTGCAGGCGGGGGAGTTCGGGGGGCTCGCCGTAGACAAAGAGGGATATAACGCGGCCGTCCTGAATAAATAAATAATAAATTAATTAATTTGTTTGTTTGTTTGTTTGTTTGTTTGTTTGTTTGTTTGTTTGTTTGTTTGTTTGTTTGTTTGTTTGTTTGTTGGGAATTAATAGTGGAGAGAGAATGAGGCTGAAGTGCAGGCGGGGCAGTTCGGGGGGCTCGCCGTAGACATAGAGGGATATAAGGCGGCCGTCCTGAATAAATAAATTAATTAATTAATTTATTTATTTATTTATTTGTTTGTTTGTTTGTTTGTTTGTTGTTTATTAATAGTGGAGAGAGAAGGAGGCTGGAGTGAAGAACGGGGAGCGCAGGGGGCGCGCCGTAGACATAGAGGGATGTAAGGCGGCCGTCCTGAATAAATAAATTAATAAATTAATTAATTAATTAATTAATTAATTAATTAATAATAATGGAGGAATTAATTGTGGAGAGAGAAGGAGGCTGGAGTGAAGAAGGGGGAGCTCGCGGGGCGCGCCGTAGATATAGAGGGATTGAATAAATAAATAAATAAATAAATAAATAAATAAATAAATAAATAAATAAATAAATAAATAAATAAATAATAATTAATAATAAATGGATGAACATTAGGTAGAGAAATAGACAGATGTGGATGTAGTATGGTGTGCGGAGGAGTCGCCGTAGACAAAGAGGGATATGCAGCGGCCGGACTTAATAAATAAATAAATAAATAAATAAATAAATAAATAAATAAATAAATAAATAAATAAATAAATAAATAAATAAATAAATAATAAACTATTAATTAATAACGATTGAATAGTAGAGAGAGAAATGGACAGGTGTGGATGCAGTGTAGTGTGCGGAGGGCTCGACGTAGAAGAAGAGGAAATGCAGCAGCCACTCTGAATAAATAAATAAATAAATAAATAAATAAATAAATAAATAAATAAATAAATATAAATAAATAAATACAAATAAATAAATAATAAATAAATAATAAATAAATAGTAGATAAACATGATGTAGTGGAGGCAGGCAGAAGAAAGCACAGCGCGGCGAGTGCTCCACACTTAGGGTTTAGGGTTTAGGGTTTAGGGTTTGGGACCTTTGTGGTAAAAGTGTCTCGAATGCACTC